TCACTTTCTCTGGTACAGTAGTACATTACTATTCTAATTATTTCAATCCGTTGTTCAACAAATATAAATATTAACTATCTGTAAATGTGGATAAATTTATTACTTTTACCAGTTTAATGTAATAAATTTATTATAATCGTGTTATAAATGATATAATTATACCTTATTCTATTATAGTGATTGTTTTTTTTTGTTTATTATCAATTATTAAATAATTAATATTATTTAATTATTTCTTGTTGAATTATTGAATTTACTCATACCAACTTATTCATGTGTTTCATCAAGCACTATTTAGTTTTTGATGTTTATTGTTTTTGTTCTTCGTAATTTATTTTATTTTTACATTTCTTGATCTTACTTTATGAGTTTTGCTTCTTTCCATTTATATTCACTTTAAATTCTCTATTTCCATTCCAGATTATTCTTATTATCAATAGTATCTATCATCACATTATTTAGCTTATTATTATTCCAATTCTCAAAAAATAAAGAAATGCTGTATAAAATTTAAATATTGTTGAAGCTATTTATAAGTAAATGTAAGGATTTGCTGTATTTTTTTTAAGAGAAGACATGTTCTTAGCTTATTATTTAAAACGAGCGTTTTTGATATTTTTTGATTAACATTCGTTTTCATTTCAAATTGGTTGATAATTAAATAATTTCACAAGAAAAAAGATATTTAAAAAAGATAGAAAAAAAATAAATGTCATATATAACATATATTTTACAATAGAAAAAAAGAACTATTGAAACAAATCAATTAAAAACTAATGAGAGTCAAACTATTGGGTTATAATCGAATAGTTCAATTACTCCAATCCTTTTATGCATACCATACATATTTTACGATTGTGATGGCGTTATTAATAGGGTTTTTGTGTTATGTTAATGAAATGGATCATGCACGACTAACAGTTATGGAAGCATTTTTTTTAGGAGTTTCAACGTCTACTGATACAGGGTTATTAACATTTGACTTTTCAATTGTTTGTTTTTCTTACTTAATAAATGAAAATTATTTAATCAAAACAGACAAAAATTAGTACTCAAATAATTGTAATGATTGGATCAGAGTTATGTGGAGTATTTTTTGCATCAACATTAGTGCCTTCAGTATGTAGATGGTATAGATTAAAACAAATTATTAAACAACAAGAATTATTAAATAGTGATAGTACAAATACATTAGTTGATTTTTCATCAAGTGAAAGTAGTGAAATAACAGATGAAACAAATGATGAAACGAATTTACAAGTATTTACAAGTGAAATAGAACCAATGCGATATGATTATAAATTAGAAATTAAATCATTAGAATATTTTATTTATATTTTATTATTCTATACAATATCATTTAAACTTATTGGATTTATTGTTATATTAATAACTTGTTATACTTCTAATGAAACTATAACTTTCTTAAACCAACAACAAATAAATCCAGTTTGGTTTAGTTTATTTCAAACAATATCTTCATGGAATAATTTAGGAATGACTGTTAATCAAAACTCATTAAATCCATTAATTAATGTTCATTGTATAGTAATTACATCTGTATTTCTTAATATGACAGGAAATATAATGATTCCAATTATTACTAGAATGTTAACATTTATTGTTCATAGACTTTTTGAACAAAAATCAAAACATTGTTCAAAGCCACAACCATTATTATATATTTTAAAAGCACCTACTAGAATGTCATTATCTTTCTTCTCTTCTACACAAACAAAATTATTGTTTCTTGTTCAACTCTTTTTAATTCTTCTTCAAACTATTTTCTTTTCATTGTTTTATAATAAAAATGATCTTTCACCTCTTTATGTTGGATTTGTTAATTCATCTTTTACTCGTACCGCAGGTTTTAGTATAATTAATGTTCGTGATTTAAGTCCACCTGTTATATTAACTTATATTTTATCAATGTATATTGCTGCTTATCCAACAGTAATTTTACGTCAATATCGTGATATTGAAGTAAATGCAAAAGCTGGTTTAATTCATATTCAATCAAATATTACTACTATTTTAAAATATGTAAAAAGTTTATTTTTCTCACATATAATGTTTGTTTATTCATTTCTTTAGTATATTCTATTTATTTATTAATTTTTAGTTGGTTTTATACAGCAACGTTAATAGTAATGGCTTTTTATTGTTCTGCTCATACAACTGGTGCAAATCAATTAATTGATGTAATGTTTGAAATTTCAAGTGCTTTTGGAACTGTGGGAATGTCATTAGGATCATCAAAAGATCCTTGTAGTTTTAGTGGAGATGTTCCAATTCCAGCACAATTAATTATATGCTTAGTTATGATATTAGGCAGACATAGAGGATTTCCAACTCACAGTTATCCATTAGATTATTATTCTTTTTGGAAAAAAGTTAATTCTTAATCAAATATATTTTTGATATTTTAAAATTTGATTCAAATATTATTTTTAAAAATAGTTTAAAAGATATTAACCTCATTAAATTCCTTTTTGTATCCAAAAAAAATATATAGAAAGAAAAACCATTAATAAATTAGTTTTAGTTCATAACAAAATACCATACATCAAAGATTCTTCTATATAATTACCTTTTTGTTTTATAAGAGACTACAGAATTTGAAAAACTAAGAATTATTAATAGAAATGGAAAGAGGTGATATTAATATAGTGGTAGATTCATTAGTTAATGAATTAATTTCATTAAAATCGGATTTTATAAATCGATGTCAATCAGCTGAAATGAAATTAAATCAACTTAAAGAAATATTAAATACAATAAAAGAAAAAGATGATAAAATAATAGAAGAAAGAAAAGAAGAAAGAACTATTGAAAAAAGAATCAAAGATATTAATTATTGGAAAAATAATAAAGAATGTGAAATTATTTATGATAGTGATTATAATGGATTTAATAAAATTTTATTTAATAAATCAGTAATGAATAAAAACAATTTAATATTTCTTTTATTTATTAAAGAAAAAGTTTTTGGAATAAGTTTAAATAAACCAATTACTTTATTAAATCAATTTATTGAAGATGAATCAATGTATATTTTTACAATACAATTGGATGGAACATTAATGAAAATAAAGAAAAAAAGAACAACTGAAAGATGGAAAAATTCTATTGAATTATTTTCTACAGGTTCATTCCTTTTTTGTATTTCATGGGCATTTGGAATTACAAATTCAGGAACAAGTAGTTGGTTCCATGAAAAATTTAAAGACTATTATACCAACTCATTGGAACTACCTGCAATTTTTGATGTGTCTCATATTCTTGTTTTTCAAAACAAAGTAGTTTAATCAATTTTAAAAAAGTATTTTCTTTTCTATCAAATTCGTATTTTTATTTTTCTCTTTATTCTATTTTTAAAATGGTTTCTTTGATATTTTTGTGAAAAAGTATTTATGGTGATGTCATTTTTTTTTGGTTGTTGTTCATTGAACAATTCAGATGAAATATTTATTTTAATAAAAATTTTGAAATAAATTAAAATTAACACAAAAAAAATAAGAAAAAATTTAAAAAATACACCTTACCTTGTTTGGTTGGTGCTTTCTATTGAAGTACTGTGATATTTCTAATAAAACAAATTGAAATCGGAAAACAATTACAAAGAAATATTTATTAATAATGAAATTACTAAAACTAAAAATAAAAATAAAACAAATCTATATCATCTAAATTGTATGATTTGTGTAATTAAAGATGGTTTTTATGTTTCTAAAATAAATCAACGCCATTTTAGAGATTGAAATAGAGAAACAAATGATAAAAATAACAAAGTATATCAAAAAATATAATAAGATAATATAATACACTATGATATTATTGAATATTTTAATAAATTTCATTTGGGAAAAGGTGTTACATTTCAAAAATACTTTCACTTTTATATCATCAGAATTATCTATTTTATATATAAAAAAAATTAGTTGATCTCAAACATATTCAACTCAATGGAAGCTCAACAAATTAATTATGATATCAAAAGACTTTATAATACTACAATTCAATATTCACATCCTATGCTTATTCCAACAAGTTTACCTGGAAGTAATAGAGAGTCATTTTATATAGAATCACCACCAATTATATTTAATAAAGAAATTAATATTATTCCACCTAAAAAACCAATTCTTTTATGTTTAGAAGAAACAAATAATAAAAAAAATACTATTCCTTTAACAGCTGTTCATCTTAGATGTTCAAGTATTTCATTCTTTACAACAGATTCAAAAAATAAAAGAATAGAATCATGGATATCTTCAACAAAAACACCACTTCAATATCCATATCCCTATCCTGGATTTAATTAATGTCATAAATCTCAAATCTATTTAACACTTCAACTTTGTCTGTTCTATATTTAGAATGTAAGTTTATTTATTTTTAGATATTTTATTTTTAAATATTCTAAAAAAGTTCATTTGAAATAAAAAAAAAGTGTTTTATATTTTATAAAAAAAAAGAATATGTTATATATTACATATTGAAAAAAAAACTGTTATTTCAAAAGCGTTACTTTTTGTAATTAAGTGTAAAAAAATTAAAACCCCATTCATTTTTGACAAGTGAAGAAACTTCAAATAAACTTCTATTATTTTTTTAAGTAATTCTAAGAAGAGTTTAATTCAGATAAAATTGTTCCAATGGGATTTTAGTTTTCGTATGAGAAAGTATTTTGGGTAAATTCTTAAAGAAACAAATAATGAATTTCTGAAAGAATGTTCAAAAATAAATAAAAAATTCAAAATAATTTACTTGATGTAATTCATTCAAACTCAAAGAATGAAAATGAATTTTCAATAATTATTGTTTTAGAACTATCCTATCATATTTAAACATCTTTGAAATTTTAAAGATTTTATAGATATTGATTTTATTGAAATGTCTACACATAGTTCAAGGATTGGAATTAGAAATATTGAAGATCACTCTCCATTATTGAAAATGGAATTAGTACTAAGTCCTATTGAATTATCTCCATTCCATTTTTTAAGTAAGTCATGTAATTCATCTTTAACTCATATTAATTCTTCACCTCTTTCAAGTCCTGTTTTATCAAAACATGGAAAAGAAGATTATATTAAAGAATTATTCTTACAACCTAACTCTCCTTTACTTTATGCTTATTGTCAAAGTGTTTGTTTTTTTTAATTTTATATTCTTTCTTATTTTAATAATAAGAAGAATAATTGTATGGAAGAATAATAATTAGTTAATTCAACAATCATCAAATCCTACTTATTCAAAAGTTCTTTTATCTTATTTCTTTTATAGAGGTAAAATCGTTGATTTGCTTTTTAAACTTGCTTCAACTGAAATTGAAAATTCATTCTCTTCAAATGAACTGTTTAGAAAAAATACTATCTTCTATAAAATTTATACTAATTATACAAATCTTTATTGTTCTGAATTTCTTATTAAAGTTAAAAAAGATTTTGATTCTTCTTCTCATCATTTACTTACAGACTTATCTTCTTCTATTCTTCATTGTCTTAAATTTATTCCAACTCATTTTATTATCATTCTTTCAAAAATATTTCAAAAAATTACTTATATTCATGATGAAATACAAGCAAATAATGCTATTTGTGCATTATTTTTTATTCATTATTTACTTCCTTTTTTTAAAAGTTATTCTGATATTTCTCATTTAGGAATAATTGAAGCTAATGAAGCTGTAAATTATATGATAACTAAAACAGACAAGTACCAACCAACTCAATTTAAAAATACTGTTATATTATTAACTCAATTATTCTCTTATTCTCCTTTAATGGTTGTAAGAGAATGTCAATTTAATGTAGCTGAACAAGAACGTACAAAAAGAAATATGTTACTGGTACTTAAAACGGAATTGAAAGAAATTAGTAATTATTATAGAGGTGACTTTTGTTCAGTATTTAATTGTATTAAAGGTTCTTCATTAAAAGAACAATCAATATTATATTCTACAAAAGAATTTATTCATTGGTTAGAAGAAAGAGAACAACTAATACGTTATGAAAATAATAATCTCACTAATAAGATTATTGCATTAAAAAAAAGAAATGAAAGATTGAAACATCAAATCATAAAAATAAAAAAATTAATTTAATTCATGTTTCTATAAATTATTTTATCATTATTCTTCTTCTTCTTTTTTTTTTACTTATAAAAATAATTAATTTAATGATGTTTATTTTCCTATCTTATTTATTTCATTATCAAATGTTTTTGTATTTTTTTTTTTAATCTACTCTATTCAAATCATTTAATTTCCTTACAACATTCATTTTTTTTTTCTTATTTAAATTATAAATAAACAAAGAAAACCATTTAGAATTAAAAAGAATAATTAAAATTCCTTCTTTTTTCTTTTAGAACTAAATTCTAAATTTTTTAGATAATGTTTTTCTTATTATTCTATTGTATTTATTCTACATTAGCTGGAAATGGAGTGAATGTAAAAGATCAACTTTTGATAGTACCATATCCTCAAAATGTTCAATTTAATAAAGGAAGTACAAATGGAATTGAAATTGATGAAACTTTAGCAATGAGTTTATCTACTCAATGTCAAAACAATCCCAATTGTTTAAGTTTTATGAAATTTAATTTTAATCACACAATAACTTTTCCTTTACAACAACAAAAAAATCTAAGAGATTTTAGAATTTCATTACATAAAGCTATTGATATCCCTCATATTATTCCCTTAAAACCTAACTTCATTAAAAAAGTCCAAATTGTTTTCAAATCTTCAGATGAAAAAATATTTTATCCATCAACAATTATTGGTTCAGATGAATCTTATTCTCTTTCTATTTCTACTTCTTCTATTATTATTGAAGCTCAAACTGTTTATGGAGCAAGACATGCATTAGAAACATTACTTCAATTAATTCGACCAAATGGAAATACATTTGTTATTTCACAATTACCAATAACAATCACCGACTCTCCAAGATTTAAATGGAGAGGACTAATGGTTGATCTTGCTAGAAATGCTATTAGTAAATTAACTCTTGTAAAAACTATTAATGCATTAGCCTCATTAAAAATGAATGTTCTTCATCTTCATTTAACTGACTCTCAATCATTTATGTTTGAGTCATCTTCATTCCCAGAATTATCTAAACAAGGAGCATTTAACCAAGAAAATGTATTAAATAAACCATTTATTATTCAATTATTACGTTATGCTGCTTTAAGAGGTATTCTTGTTTATCCTGAAATTGATATTCCAGGACATACTGCATCATGGGGTCTTGGTTATCCAGGAGTAACTGTTGATTGTTGGGATTATTTAACATCAAATAAAATCTTATATGCTGAAAATAGAGTATCATTAAATCCAACTAATGAAACATCTTTTCATATCGTACAAACAGTATTAAAAGAATTGGCAGAAACATTTGGAAATCAATATATCCATATTGGAGGTGATGAGGTTGATAATAACTGTTGGTTAAATTCAAAAGAATATCCTGCTATTAAAGAATGGATGAAAAAGAATAACTTTGATTCAATTACTGATGTAGAAAGTTATTATAATCAAATTGCTCAAGAAGAAGTTATAAAACAAGGTGCTCATCCTATTGTTTGGGAAGAAGTATTTATGAAAGGAAATGCTAAAAAGGAATCAACAATCATTCAAGTATGGAGTGATATTAGGCAATTAAAATTAGCAGTTGATGCTGGATATAAAGCAATTTATTCAGCTGGACTATACTTAGATAGACAAGTACCTTTATGTAATAACTTTGATCCATCTTCTTGTGGACAACGATATATGTGGGTTTGGACAACAAGAGACTTTTATAAACACGATCCAACCAAAGACTTTACTGATGCTGAATTAGAAAACGTTTATGGTGGAGAAGGATGTTCTTGGGATGAAAGTTGTGATGATGAAAATTTCTTTGATAGAGTTTTCCAGAGATTCTCAGCTATTGCAGAAAGGTTTTGGAGTAATAAGAATCTTATTGATGATGAAAGTCATGAGGTTAGAGCAAATTATCTTCGTTGTTTAGGAAAGAGAAGAGGATTTTTAAAAGGAACAGGACCTTTATATACTTCTTATTGTGACACTAAATAAAGTTAAGTTCAATTCACTCTAATGAATTTATTTTTAATTTTAGACTCTTTTAAAAATAATATAGTTTCTATCTTTGAATTAGAATATTACAACAAGAACAAAAAAATCAAAAAACTACTCTCATAATATAATATGTTGGAAAGAAATAATTTCTTTTGAAAACGTCATAACTTGTTACAAATATTCCTTTAATATATATTTTGACTTTAAAACATCATTATTGAACAAATAAGTTATTACTTTTATTTCTTCATAAGTTATCGTTCTTCTATTTCCGTTATAAGATATCCATGGAGAAGTTTACGTTGTTAACCAATATCCATGGGAATTAAGTATCCTATTTTTACCAAGCTCTGCCATATTATATGTACTTCCAATATCCTAACTTAACATAGGAAATGAGTCAGAACCTAAAACATCAAAACTTAGTCTTGGTTGATCATCAAGGTTAGGCTCTTTTAACATACTATAAGTTGAATGATTTATATCTAATTCCATGATTTTATTTGTGAGTCTTGTGATATACCTAATCATACATCTTTTTACTTCTTCATTGACATACTAATTAAAAACCATATCATTGTCTTTTTGAGAATTTATTGCTTCAGTTAAATGTTGAAGAGCATAATTGTGATTCTCTGGTGAAATAGAACAAAATGAACAATAAATTGTATTAATTGAAAGAGCTGTTCTATCTTAACATGAGTATAATTATTATAAGACATTACTTATTGCATAGCTTTATGTGTTTTATTACTCTATTTTTTGATTTGATTTAATTATTCATCAGCTCGAAGAATATAAACCAAAACAAAATTAAAAAGAACCTCACCTTATAAATACATATCAATGTCTTCTTTTGATGACATATTTAAAGAAAACATTATAAATAAATATTTGTCATTATAATAATAAACCTATTCATAAGCATCAATACGACTTATTCTTTTTGTCTGAGAAACAATTTTACAAAATGAAGTTTTTAATGAACTAGAACTTTGCAATATTTTATTATATAAAACTCCTTTAACTGTATACTATCTAGGTTCAATGATAGAACAGTTTAATGAAGTATGATAACTTCCTACTTATGTAGTAATTCCTTTTTCTAACCAAATAAACCCATTTTTAATATATTCATATACAAGAATCTTATCAGAGATAATTTGATATACCATATCTGTTGTGTTTGGAATTTGAAGTGAGTTAGTTCCTGTATGTCTGATTGAACCT